ACGCACCTAGGCAGTGTGCTGCCCGTGAAGGTAATGATGGCGGTCTTCGTAGATCCGAGCATGCGTGCCCGCTCAATCTTGACCCCCTGTGTTCTCACACGGAGATTCGCCATGAGTTCTGCTTGAGAAGTCCCCGACGGAATACCATGGACTATGCCTCGTAGGACGTCCTCAGGATCCGCCACATACGAGTTGAATGAGTGCACTCGTCCCCTGATATTCAGATGCGTGATCTCTCGCAGCTCTTTGGCTACATGCTCGTGGGGCGTCGATACGATGATAATATTCGAGCCCGGGTGGACGCGCAGCATGAAGCTACCACCGTCGAAGTGTCGGTGGCAAGCGTCTATTACAGCGGTGGAAAGTTCGTAGCCGAGTATGTCTTTTACGGCGAGGCCTTTGTGAGGCCTAAGGATGATCTTTATGTCGTCCTTTGGCAGGGGCGGGAGCGGACGGCGACTTCTCGTACGACGTCGGCGCTTCACCTGACTTCCCTGCTTCGGTGGGCTGCTTGACGAGGCGTTGCACTCCACAGCTTCTGACGCGTTTTTCTGGTTTTTCTTCTGGTTCTTCTTTTGCCGGCGTGTCAAAACCGTGTGCCAGCCATCCTCCGTCCATGCGGCACCATCGTGGCGTTCCCCTGCAGACACATTGTCGACTTCTTCGGACGAACCCTGCGGTGACCAGGTCTGAACGTCCATTTGAGTGGTTTCTGTAGCAGACTCCTCATCTGTGTGAACCAGTGGCTGCTCCTGAGGAGACCTCGGTGTTTCCTGAAGAGCGTCCATCCGCCGACGCTTGAGACGCGACCACGACGCAGAAGCCGCTATGCGGCGGTGCGTCTGGCCGGGCGCGACGGTCGCTGCCTCGAAGTTTTCAGCTTGCAGAAAACCGAAAAACAGCCACTCACCGCTGAAATTCGACGTTCACTGTTCGCTGTACTTTCACGAATCCGATGCACTTCAAACAACCAGAAATCGCCGAAAAACCATAGAAAATCTGCGGAGCCGATGCGACGCGCGTCCGCCAAGGTTTAGCGAGAATTGATCCGCAGTGCCATGAATAAATTGAACTAGTATATACCGTGAACTCGAGGTGGTTAAAGGTGGGAAGTAGACCCAAAGCGCAAGCCGTAAGAAAGTGTGCGTGTGCCACCTCTTGTTTAGTCCTTGGAATGTCCGCTGGATGGCGGTGCTTTTTGAATGGGGAATATATGATGAAAAAATGCGAGATGGTGGTACTTGGAGTGTTGAATAGATGGACGAATGGACACACAGACAGATGCATGGATGGACGCATGAATGGACGCAGGGGTGGATGCATGGACGGACGCAGGGACGGATGCATGAACAGACGCACGCACGGACGGGCGGATGGACGCATGGACGGTCACACAGACGGACGCATGGACGGACGGAAGCAAGAACAATCGGACGGACGAATGCTTCGCTCCACTCTCCATCATTCACTCCATGGATATGCTGCCAATTTTTTTAACCCTTGTATTTAGAAACACTGCTTGACGTGAAGTTGACTTGCAACTTTAATGCAGCCCAAACGCGTTTCAATCACGCTGTTTTTAGGCGGTACCAAGGCAGTACAAACGCACAGACGCGTTCCAAACGCGCTGCATTGAAGGTCGTTTCAAGTCAAGTCAATTAAGAAGTGCTTCTGAGTACGGGGTTAAGACACGATAGCTCAATTTTGCCCGGTATCATGAATATCTCTCTCCAACTGTACTCGAATCTACTCGAAAAGAAAATTTGAGGTTAAGTAGTGCTCATTGGGCACTAATCTTTAAAATAGGAATTTATAGGCACTTATCGAAATCATGGCGGCAACACGGCTGTGAGTGCATATATACAATGTGAGCGCGGCAAAGTTGAATGCGATACACAGCAGCCACGTGATGATAGAACATTTTCGTGAATGTGTGCATATTAAGCGTGATAACGCTGATAGATCAATTGTGCCGCTCACTGGCATTGCTGCGGGAGCACGCTATAGCACTGCTCCTCGGCATGAGCTAAAGTAATGGGTGGATTCATCTTCGCCGCCGGCGTATGTTAATCAAACTAGTTGACGCATCAACTCGCACACAAACTCGTTGATTTTGTGAAGGCCCGAGTTCAACTCGTGACTTCACGGGGTCAGTGTTTGATTCGGCAGACGCTAAGCAAGAGCTTCTCTGCATATAAAGTTATTTGGTGAGCTTGCACTGATTGTGCAAGGCTGGAGCCATAGAGGAGCTTGTGGTATAACCTAGCTCTAGCTTTTTACGTCGGTCGTCTACTCATCTGCTTGGTCTGCTTAAAACTGAAAACAGCATCAGCTATGGCTTAATTTTGATTTTACGAATTGCCTAAAGCTTAGTAAACGTCAAAATGAACAGTCTTGTCTTATATCATTAGGTTTCAATTGAAACGGCAATAACTTTCTCGGGTCCAATGAGCAAAGCCATCATTAGTATGAAGCTGTTCAACGTAATTCTAATTAGTATTGTACTAATTGTTATTTTATTAGTAAGGCGAAGTTAGTAAGCCCCGCTTCAGTGGTCTGGTGACTAACATATTGAACTGCGGACCAGCAGGCCATGCTATCGGATACTGTTTGCGGCAGCCGCATAGTCGATGGAGGCAAAAACGTTATAGGCCAATGTGCTCAGATTTGCGCGCACGTTAATGAACTTCAGGTGGTCGAAATTTCCACAGCCCCGCAGTATGGCGTCTTTTATAATAATACGGTGGTTTTGGAACGTTATACTCCAGATACCACCTCTCATTTATTCAGCATGATTCTCCTTAGTGGGCTTATGACTAACGTTGCGTTAATTAGCATGATTTCGTTAGCGCATCAACTAGCATGCTTTCGATGGCATGGTGTTAGGTTTACATGGCTTCATTATCAGGGTATTCTTAAAATGTAGCGTAATTACCTTGGTTTTACCATGACTTGACTTAATTACGTTGGTCATAGCATATTTTGACCTAACTAACCAAGTATACTGCCCCAGCCAAATAACTATAAATCAGCCTGCCTCACCAGCTCGAGTGCTAACGGATGATGGAGACAACAAAGAACACCGACCGAGCAACGTGCTACAATGTACTTAGTATTAGCTCAACAACAACAAGAAACAACAAAGGACAAAAGAAGCATGCAGTTTGAGCGTATACTATTTCATTTTTTTGCAGTATAACAAGCTGACTGATTGCAGATGAGATAAATAATTACACGCAAATCGTCATTAAAACTGAAAGTAGCACTAAACAAGGAATTTGCGCACTTTCGTTTTCGGCCTGTGTGCACGTGCGTCACGCAGCGCCCCTTCGTCACTTCCGGAATGCGCCACCGACATGCCCGGGTGCCTACCGACTCCGTCGCCTACCGCTGCCGTGTTGTCTCCTCGTGCTTGCACCCGTTTAGTTTTGCCTCACGATGCAAGTTTGAGGGCTGCTAGTGAGCCAAGTTGATTTAGTAGTTCCCTAGGAGAGGGAGCAGAGCTTCGGCATGTTTCTTCGCCGAAATTTATTACCTGAAATTGAGAACGCACATTGCGATTTTTCGGGAAGTACCGGCGTGTTTGGCTGGCGCGGATTAACAAAAAACTACTTGAAGAAATTCGGTGATATTTAGGTCTTCAGGTGTAACTTCATTCCGGGTAAGCGCCATAGCCAAGCACTTACCTGCAAACAGAGATAGCTCACCGAGATACTGTACATACAAACTTGTCCGCGACCACTGCGTGCCCAATCAGCGTGTCAGGGAGGTGGTTAAAATCGTGATGGCGATCGTGGAAATTCGAGTATTGCATTGAAAAAAACTGTGAAAATAGATGCGAAACAATATTAGTTCACTTTGAAGTATAGCCGATCGGTTCGAGTGTCAGGATTTTCAAAAATTGGTCACTTATTTCCCTAACACGGTCTACATCATTTTCACGAACTCCGCTGTACATTAGCGTACAAAAAAGTAAATTACAAGGTAAAAAAGTGCCAGAACATGCGCGAAAAAAAAGTGATGACTGGCATTACGCACCGCGCGATGTCTCTATCTCCCTCGCACAATAATTTCCTCGGTTGTTTCCACAAATTTCGATAAAGAGGCTCAACATCAGCACCGTTTATATCACTTAGGGGGGGGGGGGCGATGCTACTTTGGTGGCATGGGCTGCAGCAATATATTATTAATAATATTATACCTCTTGTAAAGTTGCCTATCTCTGCACTACTCGTTTTCGATGGGAGCTGATGTGCTTCGCTCATCCACTCTAAATTGCGGCTCGAGAGACTTTGGGCTTTCACTTGTTCTTGGGCCACGCAATTTGTAGTGTTTCTAGTGAAAGCGAGATAATGAGCCCTCGTAGGTCATGGCGGGCAGCCAGTGTACGTGGTGACTGGTATACGTGCTGCACACCTTGATTTTCTGGTCTTGTATAGAGTGAACAAATGACGCCTTCCTAATCCGATAAGCTCGCTTAAGTACGACAACAGAAAACCAAAATGCTTCCCTTTCAACATCGTACACAGCAATTGTTGACGAGCCCCCAACAAACCATGCTGCAGCAGGTGAACTTCCGTAGGTACCCAGGGAGGTACCCGGCTATGGCGGGAGAGGGTAACAACAGCAGAAGTGACATCACATGAACACTATGTATATCTTGGCATTAGGTTGCGCGAAGTTGCCGCATTATTAGAATGTTCAATATAATACGTGTGTGAAGGGCACATGCGTGCGAAAACAGGGGGAGGGGGAGAGCAGAAGAGTACCCCCATTCACCTAAAAGAAGGGGAGGGAATGCTAAAATTTACCCATACTTTGGCCTAATGAGGGGGGGGGGGTGTTGCTGCCATAAACCTTCGTTTCTCCGCCCCATTCCTGAACAGGAGTGGTGGCAGGGGCGGGCACAGAGAGACTGGAGCCCTCCCCCTTCTATATGCTTGCCTACCCCCCCCCCCTTTGCCTTCACAATAGAGAACAGTGCCATGACTCATAACACAATGGCCAAGTTTCCCGCCTCCCTGCTGCCCCTCCTGAAGGAACTCACCTATCGTGGGTGCCCCTCCCCTCCTCCTCAGGTAAAATGTTCCAGGCACCGCCCCTGTTTCTGCAAGGAAGCCCTGTGCAAGCACATGTTGTAGTACAGTGTTTGTAGGTGATATGTCTTGTTCATGAAAGTGAAGGTCGCACACTCTTGAAGCACAACTGTTTTGGTCCAATCTGTGCGAAGGCTCCTGTCGGACCGAGCCTGGAGACAAAACGTCGGTCCGGGCTGCTTGCACGCTTGCGGTATCCGCTCGTGCACTCCGGCACATAACAAATTAATTGATTGATAATGGATTTGTGGGGTTTAAAACATAACAAATTATCATGGTTAACACACACAATTCACCGCCCGAATAGATGAATGACACATGGTCAGACAACAATCCCTAATGGTGCGACAAAGGCTGTAAAAGGGCGCCAGAACCATGGCAGCACTGAAATAGTTCGCCAACGCTGCCACAAAAGCGGCATTATGACGCCTGATGCGACCGCAGCGCCACAACCTAGCAAATGCGTTGGAATGGAATGAGAAAACTTTATTTCAGTCCTGCAGGACGTGCTTAGCGCGTAGCGAGCGTCTCCCACGTAGGGACCGACAGGGAGTACCTGGCGGCCGCTTCGTGGCGTACCGCGCAATACAACGGAGTGGAAAAACGCCTCATTCCTTTTTGTTCTTCTACTCTTCTACTTCATTCCTCCACCTCTCTCATTCCCTCAGGCACTAGCCAGACAGAAACTGTGTGCCTTTTCGCCTTCTCTTCAAGAACCACACATTTATTCACCTATTCTAGTAATGTTGACCAGCCCAGCATCAACCCCCTCTTTCATTCCTCAACCCTTCTCAGAATGGTTTCGCCTCAATGATGGCAAGGGGCGAGGGCCCTCGTTGACGCGCACATTGTACATGGAAACCAGTTAAAATGGCCAGTCGGGCGAGTTTCCAGAGTGCGTCTTGCCGAAACAGCAACGTCTGGGCCTTTTACTGAGTTAGGGCACCTTCCCGCGCGTCCCGTTTTCCACTCACAGCAAATGCAACAAGAAATCGTCCAGTTCAGCACTGCTATACTGCATTCAACAACGCGCTCGTTCAACCATCTGTGGCCAAGTCGGTATGGTACCTGCATTTTACATTATTTTCTTTTTCGCAAGCTGTCGTGGCAGTCCTGTTATGTGATGTGATGATCAGTGGCTGGGGTGCTCGGCAGCTCACACGAAGGTCGTGGGTTCGATTGTGGTCACGGCGGTCGCGTTTCGATGGACACGAAGTGGTATGGAGGCCCAGTGTACTGTGCGGTGCCAGTTACGTTTAGAGAACCCCAGGTGGCCAAAATTTACGGAGTCCTCCACTACGACGATCGTTATAGCACGAAAACAGAACTTTTTGTCGTCATTCTGTTCTCGCGCTATAGCTATCGTCATGTCATACCAACTAGTCCAAACTGCCACGCTCAAATCTTCCACTATGCCGTGTCTCATAATCATATATTGGTTTTGGGACGTAAAGCCCCACATATTATTATTATTATTATTATTATTATTATTATTATTATTATTATTGTTGTTGTTGTTGTTGTTGTTGTTGTTGTTGCTGTTGTTGTTTTAACGTTCGTGATCGTAGTCAAGTACAAGAATATAATGGACGCATGCATAAAGGGCACGCATGGGCCCATTAAAAAATCGGAGACGTCAGCGACCCGGCGATCACGTCAGCAATCCGGACACATCAGCACAATTTGAAAAGCTGAGGTACGCCCATCGTGCCGCGTGCAGTTGCACCCCAGAATTTCGCCGCATGACCGTTGTTTTCAGGCACAATGATTCTCGCATAAGAGAAATAGCGGAAGCCTTTACTACCAATAAACATGGTGTGGCTTCTGTTAGCGCACCGTCAATTGCTTTACTAGATTACGAGCTGACTTATTTGGGAAAAAAAACTTAATGATTTAGTCTATCATTAATCTTTTGTCATGTGCATAGGCGGCGTGTGCAGTTTTTGTTCTTCTTTCTTCTCTTTGTTTTTCTGTTTCGCTTGAATAAAGCGACCAGTTGCCAGTCAGCGCTCGCGTTGTTCAGTCTTCTTTTGTGTTTCGTCTCTGTACTGTTCCAATATGAATACTGGCCACCTTGCCCAACTCTCCCTTTTGCTGCGTTATATTTACGTATACGAATGGCAGATGGAACGGTGTTACTTTTGTAAACGTTCCTTAGTATTGAAAGGTGCACGCACGCAGCACATGATGCAGACCAGGTCAGAGGGGCGACTGCATGAGGTGCGACCGTCTACCACTTACCTGTCACTTGACTATGCTGACTTGCACATTAGGAACCGCCCAGAAGAGCAGGGAAGCTCGCGATGGTGAGACCGATGCTCAAAAATTGCTGCACGCGTCGTTTCTGTCAGGAAACGCGCATATCTTTAGGCTGCAACACCGCGCCTTCAGTGGAACGTGAACTCAAAAAGAAAGCAAACACTAAACTGCCAGAACAGTGCGATTCGTGCTGTCTGAAATTTCATGATCGGAAAATGAGCTACACCACTGCATTCTTGTTTTATTCATTGTGCAACTTTTACGAACATCATAAACGTGTGTTAGCTCGGCTTTTCCGATGCATCATCTCGTCAGAGTAGAAGCTGTGATTTGAAGCTGGAAAGGTGAAGGAGATATTGCATACACTTTAGTTCGTTGCCCAGATAATCATACGACAACGAATTCACTGGAGCGCTTGGGAGCGTAACTACTTTAGAAACCTGGCGAAAACGGATCAGCCGAGTGACTGCGTTTCACCCGCCGGACAGGCGGAAGTGAAACGGAACATTTATGGTGAAATTGACGCACGTGCCATCTATCGGTAGTTGCAACAAACACACAACGTCCAACGCTTGGCGGCGCTGACGTCAGTCGAAACGGCGAAAGGCCACTCGTTGGACGGTTCGTGATAACGATGCTGATGGCCGTACTTGCATGCTCTGTTAGGCAATGCCACGCACGCCCCTTTTCATTCTTTCGGTTTTTCTTTCTTTTTTCTTTCTTCCTTTCTTTCTTTCCTTCTTTTTATGTTTTACGTTACCGGCTTATTGCCCATGTTCATAATGCCTTACGCAAACCATTCCAGAATGTCTCGAGAACGTTTCATTTTATTTCAGAATCATCTGATGGGCTTGTGCACGCGAAAAGATAGAGTTAAATCTCGAACAAATGCCGCCACCAGTGACAGTGCTCGTGTGTACGCCGCTGCATATAGGAATGCCGATGCACCTTTTCGCAGTTCAGATTATCGACGCTCTATGCACCGTTCTTCCTGCCTGTGTGTATTGGGGCAATCCGGCTTTTCATTTGCGGCCACAAGTTCAGCCAAATAAACAGTTTTCACTTGCATATACAGACTCCTACCTCGGTCAACGTGGCGACCACGTGGTGTACCATATGGTGCATTTCATTTTGAAAACAGGCTTATCACTGAAGCAGCCCGCCTACAATGAATCTCGCGCTAATGCGTTTAACTTTAACAAGAGAGGTATGTGTTGTATAAGTGATACGTTTGTTTCACTTTTCCAAAATGAGATGCAACTGTTTGATGTGCGAGTGGGATCACTGCCTGCCGATACTGACGAATGCAAGCCCGGATAGTTGTGGTGGTTTGTTATTTCGAATAAATATTAGCACCCGATCTTCCTGCTTTTTCCGGCTTCTTTTTCTCGAATCTTTCTTTTTCCAAGCCTGCCTCGCATATTTTTCTTTTTCCAAGTATGCGCTATCGTGTACTCTTTTAGAAATAAAATTGCATCTACTATTAACCTCAAGGGGCAAGCTCACACTGCTTCGCTTCAGAGGACTTTCTTTGTCATTGGTTGCAACGGGGTTCACTACTATAGCCCCGTGTACATGGACGCGACGGGGGCGGGCTGAGTTGAAATGCGGGTTCAGCTTACCTCGACGCGCCCGAGTTTATATGAACTCGCACGGACGAGTTGAGGTGAGCGGTGATCGCAGCGATGCTTTGCGTCGAGGCGAGCCGAAAGCCCATCTTCCGGTACCGGTTTCCGCTCCTCCAAGCCTGCGCTCTCGCCGCTGTGGGCTGCGGTTGTTTACGCAGTTGTCGCTCCGCCACCGCGATGGCTGTCTTGGTATTTTTTCTCAGTTTGCACCAGCTGTACTTTATGGTTGTGTAGGTGTCTTGGCTAACACTGCACAACGCGGTGACAGAAGTGGTTCTGTTGCGACACAGCGCTCGCCGCAGGCGTATCCGCAGCCTGACACACCGTCCCCTGTTCACCCCTGGCTGGTCTCTCCAGGAATTCGCCGTACCGAATATAAATAATATTTTCTCGCGTAAAACAAAGACTCGTATTAAACTTACAGAAATAAATATCGTTTCTGCACCCTTTGAAATGATCCAAAGTGTATATTTTTATATGGAGCGCCACACAGACCGATAAGTGCTTGAACATGAACGATATTGCAAATTTTTCAAAGTTCATGTGCCAGCGCTTCCAAACTACTGTCTTCGCGACTCGTGTTTTTCCCCCATTTACCGTCAACAATGCAAGCAAGCTATGCAGCTGCGTTGTCTCTGGAAAAGTTGAAAAGCTGTAAATGTTTCTGATTTTGGTCAAGAACACTGCATTGCTTCCCCGCAAAGCACATTAACATACACTAGTGGTGAATGCGTTTTAACAAGGAAATTTGGTTCTTTTCCTACCGAATAGAATCGTTTTACCGTGCTGCGTATAATATTTCACTTTTTCGAAGTTTCGTCGCAACCTAACTGCCACCATATTTAAGATAATAAAATTTTCTTTAGAAAATTGGTTCCAAAAATGAATAGTGTAGTAAAGTGACCAACCATTACTTTTTAGAGTGTAATCGTAGATGGTATAGCGTACTGTCTGGGATATTTGGCGTGGAACGACCCTCATCTCCTCCAAAACCCGAACACTAAACCCGAAAAAACGTTCGAAATGCATAAGTTCATTCAGAGATTCATAAAACACGAATTAAAAAGAGCGAAACCAACCCTGGACTACGCTTTT